TACATAGATCTATTTCCCTCTCGTTATATATAAATATATTTACATATGTATATGTCTGTGTTTAGACCTTTATAAATGTCCTTTGCAGGGCTGCAGTCTTTATGGAAGCAGACTGCCACATCTTTCTCCCTGGAAGTGAGAAAGTGGAAGTGGCTGGTGGCTTCAAACCACCGGCCTTTTGGTTGACAGCCAAGCACTTTAAGCATTGTGTCACCAGGGTTCCTTATACGCACTCGACAAGATGAAACCAAACTCATGGTTGTCAAGTCCATTCTGATTCATACAGCCCCTATGGACAGAGCAAAGCAGAATGGCCCTGTGGAATAGAAAGCCTCATCTTTCCCCCAAGGAGTAGCTGGTGGCTTTAAACTACTGACCAAGTGGTTACCAGCTCAGTGCATAAGCTCCTGATAGGTAGACAGTAGCTACTGTTGTTATCTCCCTTTTATGGATAGGCAAAAGGGCCACAGAGAAGTAAGGTGAATTCCCTAAGGTCATGCAACTCGTAAGTGGCCCGAGCAGGATTCCTAGTCAGGCAAACAACTGGCTCCAGAGCCTGTGCCCTTAATTGCTATGCAACACTACCTTTTATGTACTATGAATGTCCCCCAAAGTGGCAGTAAATGTTCATGATCTCAAAATTGGTATGATTACACAATTTTTCTGACAGATGGAAGTGCCATCTTGTGAGGAAGCAATGCAACCCTGCATGACTGACTTTCGGTCTTTTTTTTTTTTTTAAACCGTTTTATTAGGGGGTCATACAACTCTTATCACAATCCATACACACATCAATTGTGTAAAGCACATTTGAACATCCATTGTCCTCATCATTCTCAAAACATTTTCTCTCCACTTAAACCCCGGCATTAGGTCCTCATTTTCCCCCTCCCTCCCCGCTCCTCCGCCTTCAAGAGGAACGGAAGCGAGGTGGGGGAAGGAATTCTGGCCTTGGGGCCCAGCCCAGCCTCCTGGGTGCCTCTGCTCCCCCTGGCCAGCTGTCATCCCTCACCCGAGCGGCTCTTGCTGTTGGTGAGGATGTCCTGCAGCCGCTCCTGCAGCTTGTCTGCCCGTTTCCGCTCCAGGTGCAGCTGTCGCTTGAGGTCCTTGAGCTGTGGAGTACCAAAGAGAGAGGTGGGGAATGAGGCCGAGTGCGCCCAGAGGTGGGGCCCATGGGGCCGGGTGGGCGCATGGCCTGGGCCCCTCCCCATCTTACTGCAGCACTGCCCTTCTTCTCCAGGATTCGCTGGCCATCCACGGTGTCCTTCACCTCCTGGGGGAAAGCAAGCACGGCTGGTGGGTGCCGGATGGTGATGTGCTGTCCGTTCTCTTGCTGCCCCCTTACTGTACACTGAGGGAGCCTTGGGTGGGGGGCACTGACCTGTTTCAGGTTGCTGATGGTTTTCAGGTGGCTGTCTCGCTCCTCCTGGGCCTGCTGAAGCTTATCTCTCACCCCCTGCAGCTCCTCCTCCTTGCCCTGCGAAGCAGTGACCTCAGAACTAGGCCCCATCACTCCCCAAAGACAAGAGCAGCAGCATGCCACACGTACCTTCAGCTCGGCAGCATGCTGCTCCTGACATTGCTTGAGGGCTTCCTCTTGTTCTTGTTGCTGCTTCTGCAGAGATTCCTGTAAGACAAGTCCCAGGTCTGGCCACAGGAGACATTATGTACAGTTAGGGGTGGGGGTGGGGGCGCGGAGCACTGTGGTGGGGCTCCAAAGGTAGGAGGAAAACACAGCAGGGAACACTGCATGCCCTTAGACAGTCTGTATACGAAAGTGTCACTGACCTAGATTTACATTGAGATTTGATTTTCTTTTTTAAAAATTTTCTTTAAGGGTTTAACTAATAGTAACTCATTTTATATCTAGACCTTAAAACCACTGCCATCAAGTTGATTCCACTCACAGCAACCCTATAAGAAAGCAGAACTGCCCAGAGGGTTTCCAGGACTTCAATCTTAAAAAA